AAAGCCACTCGGGTGTCCCTGGTCTGTTGGGGGGGTCCAGCAGCTTTGCTGGACCCCCCCAGCAGACCAGGGAGACTGGGAGAAGCTTTTCTCGCCCTGGAGGACACGGGTGGCGACCCGCCGCCCGTGAGCTCCGGGGCGAGAAAAGCCCCGTTCGTAAGTGCGGATCCGACATAAGTCGGATCCGCATAAGTCGGGGACTGCCTGTATTGAAAAGCACAATAATAAAGGGTTATTTATATGCAAAATTTAAAAAAAAACCAGTAAGAGGACCCAAAATACGCCACCATGGTTTAACATCAGCGTAAAAGAGGTGCTAAAGGTAAAAAAGCATCTTTTAAAAATTAGAAACCAAGTCATGGTGAGAAAAATAGAAAGGAGCATGAACTCTACCAAGTCAAGTATAGTAAGACAGGCCAAGAAAGAATTTGAGGAAAAACTAGCTAAGGACACAGAAAAAAAAATCTGTTACTTTTTAAGACTATCAGAAGCAAGAAGACTGCCAAACAGACAGCAGAGCCACTGAACGATCAAGGTGCTAATGAAGACAGGGTTGCTGTGGAGAAGCGAAAGCAATTTTTCACATTGATCTTCGCTGCAAAGGATGTGTGGGAGATTCCCCACACCCCAGCCATTCTTTTTAAGTGACAAATCTGAGGAATTGTCCCAGATTGAGGTGTCAGTAGAGGAGGTTTTGGAACAAATTGAGAAATTAAATAGTAGTAAGTCAACAGAACCAGATGGTATCACCCAAGAGTTCTGAAGAAACTTAAATATGAAATTGCAGAATTACTAACTGTCATATGTAACCAAATGCTTAAATCAGCCTCTGAACCTATTGACTGGAGAGTAGCTAATGTGATGTCCATTTTTAAAAAAGGGTCCAGCAGCAATCCCGACAATTACAAGCCATTAAACCTCATTTCAGGACCAGGCAGACTGGTTGAAACTATAGTAAAGAGCTGAATTATCAGACATGTAGACGAACATAATACGTCAGAGAACATTCAAGGCTTTTGTAAAGGGAAATTATGCTTCACCTATCTATTAGAATTCCTTGAGGTGGATACAGTGCACCTGAGCTTTCAGCAAGCCTTTGACAAGTTCCCACACCAAAGACTTTTAAGCAAATTAATCAGCAGTGGGATAAGAGGACCAATAACTGGTTAAAACATAGGAAACAAAGGGTAGGAATAAATGGTTAGTTTGCACAGCAGAAACAGGTAAATAGCAGGTCTCCCCAAGGATATGTGCAAAGAATGTTGCTGTTCAATATATTCATAAATGATCTGGAAAAAGGGATGAACAGTGACATGGCAAAATCTGAAGATAACTATCTTGAGTCATTTTGTAAGTCCAGAGCTGACTCTGAAGAGTTACAAAAGGATCTCACCAAACTGGGTACCTGGGTGACAATGTCAAATGATATTCAGTGTTCAGTACAAAGTAATGCACATAGGAGAAAATTGCCCCAACTATACATACCAAAACAATGGGTTCTACATTAACTGTTAGCACTCAAGCAACTGAGCTTGGAGTCATTCTGGATAGTGCCCTGAAAATAGCTGCTCAACATGCAGTAGAGGTCAAAACGTCTAAGAGAATGTTAGAAACTTTAGGGAAGGGATAGATAAGATGACAGAATATATCTCAGTGCTGCTATATAAATTCATGATATGCCCACCTCTCGAATACTGTGGACAGTTCTGATTGCTTCATCTCAGAAGATATTAGAATTGGAAAAGGTGCAGAGAAGGGCAACAAAAATGGTTAGGGGGATGGAACTGCTTCCATACGAGGAGAGATTAAAAGATGGAAACTGTTTAGCTTAGAAGATAGATGAGCAAGGGGTAGCACTATAGAGAGCTATCTCATCAGAAATGGTGTGAAGAAAGTCAAGAGGGAAGTCTTTTTTCCCACCTTCACACAACTCAAGAACTAGGAGGTCACGTGATAAAATTAACAAGCAGCAGGTTTAAAGCAAACAAGGAAGTGCTACTTCACACAACACACATTCAAGCTGTGGAACTCATTGCCAGGGGATGTTGCGAAGGCCAAAAGTGGTCTCAAAAAAGAACTAGGTAAGATCATGGAAGACCATTTGGGGCCTAAATTTGTATGATTCTATATTTTGTCTGAACAATGCTAAACTAGGGCATCATGTGATATCTTTTTTTCCTTTTAGTAGCTTCCTTACCAATCCGCTGATGGAATCATAGAATGAAAAGGGCTAACTTTTAAAATTACATATCATCCTCTCCTACTGCATGTGTGGGAACAGACGGTACCAAACTCCCATTGCCTTGCCTGGCAATGTCTCTGTGGTTAATCATAAAATCTGCTGACAGGACAGAAGCCAAGAACCTCTACCTGCAAGGGCACTTTCAAGGCAAATGCCTGACAATCTAAGTTTAAAGGACTGTGCTACCTAATAGAAATCTGGTTTTATGATCAGAACTAGAATAGCCGGCCTAGGACTGCAATAAGAAGGATAGTGTTATGGCAGTAAGATTGAGGTTTCAAATGCCTAGTTTGCCAACTGGGATTTGGCTGTCAGCCATTAGTATGACCTGGGGAGGAGATACAGAGAGAGAGTCTGATGTTGTGGGCCAACAACACACTCATTCCAAACCCCTTTCCCAGGAATCAAATCTTTACTCAAGCTTGTTTGACTTTGCTAGAGGAATATGCCCAAATTCCAAGGAGAAAATAGCAGGTTTCTGGCTCACATGTGAATAGAGAGATGTTAAAGGAAGTTAGTGGGATTGAGCTAATTCTTCCTTTCCCCTTTCCTTGCAAATAATGCAATGGGAAGACTAAAAGGTTATCTTGCTCTAGTCCCTCCTACCCAATATTTTCAACACACAACCCAATATCCTGGTATAGTCTAACAACTATGAGATGTGGTTCTTTACATAGCTATCTGCAGAAATCATGCAGTCCTAGACATTTTCCCTTTTGAGGCCCACTCTGCATCAATGTTCCCTCTAATTTTTCCATCCATCCATGTGCAGAATACATTTTGATATGTGCACTGAGGCATGTGCAGATGTGCACCACCAATAGAAACACATGCTGCTGGCTGTGGGCAGCTGTAGGCACTTTGCTAATCAACTGGATGGCACCTGAATCTCTCCTGGGTGGTTGCCCAAGAGCCTGGCTTACAGTGAACACTGCTTTGCATGTGAGCACATCTGAGAGTGAGCACAACTATGATGGTGACATTCTATTCTGATGCTGGACACTCTCCATTGCACAAGCTGCATCCAGGTTAGCAGTAGAGAAATGATCAAAAAGTGTGGTGATGTGGGACAAACAGAGCAGGGAAGATTCGCAACATATAAGTGGATTGTGCTAATGTGTCATGTGCATGAGTGATCAAAAATGCAGAACACAGTCTGCTTGCTTGTCAAAGCTATCCTTCCTAGAGTCTCTCATGTTATGGTGGATTAAGGCCAAATCAGCTGATCCGTGCCCTGTCCTCCAAATATTTTCCCAGATGAATTTTCCCTCCCTAAACCTCACCCTCATCTCCTTCCACTTCCCTGCCTGAGGGTGGCAAACGTATCTTAGATGCTTTTTCAGGGTAACTTACCCACTTCTGAAGTGAAGTTTTTTAAGGGACATTTCTTCAAACTAGTGGAGAACTGGGGGCTAAAAGTTCCCCTAGCTGGTTTGTATGTATAAAGGCACAGGTGATTTTTAACAAGGCCGAAGTTAGTTCCTTATGGTTCTCAGTTCCTTATTCAAAGATTTCTTTTTAAACAGGTCATCACTAAGTATAAATGTTTAAGACATTTCACCAAAGTGAGAGTAAATTGTATAATAATATGTATTCATGTTTTTGAGAATACACAAGCAAGGCCTCAAACCCACATTGTGCCTCTTAAAGTCGGTCTCTTTCCCATTCTAGGCTGACACTTTCCCAATCACGTGTAGTGTCCTGTCCAGTACATCCTGTATCTGGTGGCAGCAGATCCCTGCCAATCTCTCTAATCTGTCTCAGAGAGAATATGAATACAATAAAAAAAGAATGATAACCAAAGAAGATTACATGAATCCAATCACCAGCTAAGCCAAAGGAGTTGAGTCGTTGTGGGTTTAGCAGTAATACTTCTCCATTCATGCTGCCCAGAAGGCACTTGTTCATTGCAAGGGTGCAGTAAGGCAGTCTCTGCCCATTTCCCCAGCTGACTGTCCACAGAATAAAGGAAGAACATTAAGACATCATTAATATAGTGCTTTTATTAACTTACAATGGAGAATGGCAATAAAAGGATATAAAGCTCACACCTTCCCATTAGCCTCATCCAGGGGCCACAAATTGTAAGGCAGAGAATAAAAACTGCAAATAAGCCAGGCACATAGCAGCACTAACGTGGGAACCATGAAGACAGTGTCTCTGTATTTACAATAGCATGGGGGATGCTTGCCACTGTACTGTATGGCATATATACTGTATGCACACACACTCTCACATCCTGTGTGTGAATATTACACACAAAGAGATGTTGTTATTTATGTGTGCACCCACTCCTACGAGTACTTGTACCCATGCGATCATTCATTTACATCTACACATGCAAATGGCATCCATGGGTCTATGCGCACTCACATATATTCCATCATAAACAAGTATAGCCCACATACATTCTTACACAGTAAGGGCATGTCTACACTGGGGAGTTATTTCAGAATAATTCCCCTTATTTTGAAATAACAAGGCGAGTGTCCATATTACCAACTAGGGGGGGTAATGTAGTCATACGGAGTTGCAAATGAAGCCCGGGATTTGAATCCCTCCTGTGAAAACCAGATAAATCCTGTCCTCCTTAGGATCCTAATGTACCCAAGCTTAAAATTACAGACCCATACAATATAATCCCTGCATCTCCCTAACAACAGATGCAACTTTACCAAGAATCATTCATCTCAGAGCCTGTGGTAGCTCCTGCTGTGAGCTGGACTTCAAAAGGCATGTATTTCACTGCTTTCATTGCTTTAGATAACTAGATCATTTTTGCACATTGCAGATTGACTGCAGATACAGATTTTATATCTGCACAGGGCTTGATAGATAATTAGTTATGTTTAACAGGTTGTTCTGTGACTGTATTTCTCAACTAGCAGATTCTGTTTATATCGCTGGTTTGGCCATTCAAAGCTTGCCTGCTTGCAGGGGGGACAACAGCCTTTGTGGGACCCCAGGCAAAGGTGTGGGAGGGCCCCAGCTCTCAGCAGCACTGGTACCCCTCAGCCCTCCAAGCCGATGTAAAGGACTTGGGGCTCCAGCTGCTGCCACTGCTGCAGTAGAAGCGGCCGGAAACCCTGGTCCCTTTGAATCACTGAGCCCTGGGGCCAGTGCCCCTTACCCTCTCCCCTCTCCGTTGGCAGGTCTACCTGCTTGGATACCTCCAGGTGCTCAAGTGGGGAAGACCTAGTGTAATTCCCAGGAGAGAAAATTAATAGCACTGCAATGAACAAGCATCTAAGGCCTTACCTACTCTGGTGGAGGGGATTTGTAGCAGCATGCCACAGGGAAAAGCAGGCTGTGTCCACACTAGGGTGTGTTGCCACACATGACAGTGACAGGCTCTGGCAGTGAGACACTGCTCTGGTACAACAGCAGTATGGGCAGGAGAGGCACTGCTTGGGCACAGAGCACTGTGCAGGGCACATACCCTAAGGTTCTGGTGTATTCACATAAGCAATGCCTGCCCACCTGCACTGCTCCTTACACTGTGTGCCTCCTGGCGTGGGCATGTGTACCCTACATGCTGCTGTAAATGTAGAAAAAGCTGAAGGAGCATAATGGTCGCTAAGGACCTGCTTCTGCACTCACTGAGCCAAAGCCTCTGCTGCAGCTGAGCAGCACTGAGCAGAACTGAAATGGAGGAATGCAAAAGCATCTGTTCCACTCCGATGCTGGGGCTGCTGGCCTCTGGACTGACCCCTATCTTACAATGAACCAACATGACTGGCTGTGGAAGGGAGCATTGCTAGGCTTTCCTTGTATTCCTGCAGGCTCTGGCTGCCACGAAGGTCCCTTGGGGACAGGGCTGTTCTAATTACAGTAAAACTCCGGTGGTCCGGCATCCAATGGTCCAGCACTCCTGATGGTCCGGCACCATCTGGAACCTGGAAGTGCTCCGGGCAGCTGGACAATTGGAGCTGCTCTGCCCCCGGCTTCCCCGATTCAGCCACTGCTGAAACTGACCAGTGCCTGACTCCAGGAAGCCCGAGGCAGAGTCAGCCGCTGGTCAGTTTCAGCAGCAGCTGACTTGGGGAAGTCTGGGGCAGAGCAGCTGGGGTGCTGCCAGGTTGGTCCTGCAGCGCCGAGGGGCGCATCCCCTCCACTCCACCCCAGACTCCTCATAATCCCCCCTTCCTATAGTCCGGCATATTTGATAATCTGGCATCCTCTGGGTCCTAAAGGTGCCGTATAATTGGCAGTTTACTGTAATACCAAATGCTATTATTCCTGCACCAGTAGTCAGGACCAGGTGGCTGGGGCCAGGAGCAGTGATGGTGGTTTTAACAGCACCATGGATCCCCTTGCACCAGAGGAATCCTCCTGCAGCTGTCCATGTCACTGGAGCTGCACAAACCAGCCTTAACCGATTTGGGGTGCTTCCATTGATTAGTGTCCCCATTGAGCACGTGCTTGATTTTCAGAGATGCTGAGCTCTCAGCCCTACTATTGAAGCAGCTCTTCTGAAAAATCAGGCCCATGTCTGTTGAGAAGGGCACCCAAGTATTGTTGCAATCAGAATCAGTAGCCACTTCTGAAAGTCTGAGCCTAACTACTGTATTAGTGGATGGCAGCAAGTGGAGCAATCAATAGAGCACTCTGGGCATCACGCCTCAGTGCCTTGTTTTTGCAAAGTGATGAGCGAATGGTGGCACTGACAGCATCCGGCCACCTAAGGAGGCGCTGCAGTCCCCTTCATGGTCTGCCCTGTCACGGTGCACTGGAGAACCGTAACTGGCAGTAAAAACATGTATCCGCTTCAAGAAGGGTGCTCTGGAGGAAATGGGTTCTTATGATTAAGGCACAAAATTAGGAGCATCTGAATTGCTAGCTCTGCTATAAACTAAGTGTAACCTCATGCAAATCACTTACATTGTCTCTGCCTAACAAATGGAGAGAACAAGACTTCCCTCCCTTTCAGGAATCCTGTGAGGTTTATGTCATTGACCTTTGTACAATGCCTGGAGATCCTCAGATAGAAAGTACTATAGAGAAGGATAAAACAGGTCTAGTGTAAAACTTCTGGGGAGTTAGAAGCAGAGAGTAAAAGATTGCTTTTTGAAACATAGAACATGATAGTCTCTGCTAGCTTGTCCCAGACAAACATAGACAAATCAGGTTTCTGAAATGCTACCTGTTATTTAATAGAGACCAAAATGGCAGCTTCCAAACACCTTTTAGAGTAAAGGTACAACTGGGGGAAACAAATGTCGTGTCTCCAGTACTTTCTGTCTTACATACTTTTATGGACGCCCAAAGCAAAGGCAGTGTATAACATTTTTAAAAAATCCTTCCTTCCATCTTATCCTGGAACTCTCTCATGTAGTATAATTACCCTTCAAGGGCCTTTCAACTTTATTGAACCTTTTACCATTTATTGTGTTCCTGAAAATGGTCCAGCAACATTCTCTCACATCCTTTTGTTGTTCTTTTGCTAGCAATTCTGTAGCAGCTTTATCCACATCTCCTACCCCGCCCCCCAAAAAGCATAATCTTCTTTCTGTCACACCAAGGTTGAGATGCTGTGGAAGCAGTCCTTCAAAAACCAGGCATCGTATTAGCTGCCACTTACCAATCTGGGACTCCTGACATTCCTCATAATAATCCTCAGAAAAGATTGTGTTTCTCTTTCTGACCAAACATGTCCCTTACGAGTCTCCAATAGAGTAGTTTTGCCATGTTCTTAGATCCGAGTTCACAGGTCCTAGGGGATACAGGGATGAGGAAAGGATACACTTCAAAAACATATTAACTATTCATTAAAGTCCATCCTTTCCTTGCTACTGTAATTTGTCCCCAAAGACCTTTACATTCCTTCTTCCTTTTCTGATTGGGCCCTTCTCAGCCAATTCTAGTAAAGGTTCCTTCAGCCTAATACAAAACAAACAAACCCCAAACCACTGAGCTCTGTATCTCTATTGTAAAAAAAAAGCAAATGTGCAACTTAAGAACAGACTCTGATGTTTTGCCATTGGTGGGCACGTCTGTTAGGAAAGAGCCACAGTATTTAAAGCTGGGAAAGGCAGGTCCCCTAAAAAGTTTCTGTGGGAATAAACCACTCTCTGGCTGGATTCCAGCAATTAGCATACCACAAGGATTAGTCGACTGCCTCCGTGGTTTGCAAAGTGTATCATTAGCAATGGAAACATATTGTACAGCAAAGGGAATTAGTGGTGAGTCTTAGTCTCTATTACCAAGGCGCTCTTCAAGGCAGACACTTGAAAAATAAAGGACAATCAGCAACCCTAGAAGCTCAGTTATTATGGCACAGGTATGGCTGGCTCCACCACATAGTCAATGCTAATTTGTCCATAGAACAAAGAGGGCAAAGAACTATAGATCTACCTTGTACAGAGCTTGGGATCCAAGGGAGTAGTTCCCACATAGCAAGTCTGCCTCCACTGCCTTGGGGTGTCATTTTCACATTTGCAAAGAGGGCATAAGAGGCTACCAGATAGCATACATGCATTTTACCCGACATCACATTCACCCTGCCGTGATGCAAGCAAGTACACAAGGATCAGGACAGTAGAGAACAGGGCCAGGAGGGGCAGCTAGAGTCAGAAAAGTCACCATATAAATGAGGGACCAGATTCCTCAGAAAGGGACAGCTGCTTGGTTCTACTCTGACTGAAATGTGGCTCTAAAGATGGCTTAACTAGTCAAAGGTAAACCTCCCAGAGCAAGGGGGATATGCACCACCCTTCTCCTTGCTGCCAGTATCATAGAAAAAAAGATGGCATGCCCAGGATGCCTCTACACTTGAACACTATTGATCTTAAACAGCATTTTTATCCACTGGGGCTACTGCAGTCTGAAATAATGTAGTGCACCTTTCATGCTATTCTAACTGCAAGGGGACCAGTCCCTGAACAGAGCAGTACCATGCACAAACATGCTGCCACCCTACTTGCATCCTCTGCATTTTGGCTTGGGCCAAGGGTCGGGCCGAAGACTGACTCCCATGTTGATTCGCTCTCGGTGATTTCTAGGGCCAACATGCTCTGCCTGTGGATCTAAAGATCATTTTTCTAACCGTTGGTGCCATGAACTCCTCTTAGTATTGCAGAATTCAGCTATGTCTTTCTGCGTTTCATAGTCTTTCCAGACATAAATATTCTAAAATTGAAACTTAGCTGGCAATTCAGTTTGGATGGGAGCGGCCAGCCTTTTGTGAAGCTATCCTGCAGTTTCCTGGGGCATTGAAACAGTCCTGAAATAACTTCAGGGCTGACGCAACTTCACCACAGTATGACAAATTATCTGCAATACATCCTCCTTGATGTACTGACAACTTTGCCTCAGAGGGCAAAAGTCGCCAAGGCTGCTAGTGGCAATCCCATGCCCAGTCTTTCGCAGGGCAGGCTAGCAGGGTTTTAGAAGTGTCACTTAATGGAAGCCGCCTTTTCCAGGGGGGCAGGGAATGCTGGCACACTGAGCTCTCACTCCCTTCCCATGAGCTAGCACTCCAAGTAGGAGCAGATACCTATATGCTCTGATGGAGGAGGTCAACATGGTTCCAATGAAGGCAGGGATGCAGTGGGCCAGGGAGACAAGGATTTGAGCCTTATCACATAGGGCTGAGCCTTGCTTGAAGGAGGCGAGACTTTCCAGATTGCTGCTTTAGATTCCTCCAACCTGCTAACTACACACGCACAATTCTACTAGCTTCTCAATGACCACAGAGATGAAGGCAGAGAAGGAAATAAGAGGCTGGGAGTATGGAGTTGGAACCTCCTCCATTTGGGAAAGGCTACAGGACAAAACGAGTGATCTGAGGCAGGGCACTAGTGGAGGTGGGATGGGGAAGTGCAGTGGTTGTGCAATGGAGGAGTAAGGAAGCTACTGGAGGAAGTATGACAGAAGGTGTGTTAGTTCATAGATTCTGAAGCAGATGGGACCGTTGTGATCATGTAATCTGATTTCCTCCCTCACGCAGGCCATAGAACTTCCCTGAATTAGTTCCTGTTTGAACACCAACCTTGATTTTAAAGTTGTCAGTGCTATTACAACCCATAAGCTGTGCCAGTGGCTAACTACCTGCACTGTCAAAATGTAACCCCTGCTTTGCAAAGGCCTTGCCGGGGTGGGCTATCCTCCCACACCTTTGTTATATGTAGGTAGTCACCTTCTGTGAGGAGCTAGTGAAAATGCATTTGCTTCTCTGTGGCTATTCCTGGGCCAAGATAAATACAGGAATACCTGAACACTTCAAATCGCTTCTCATTTCTAATCACTTCGTATCAGGCTCCTTCAGACAAACGTGGCTGAGTACCTCAACTGCCTGGAAAGCAAAGGCCATTTTCCTCTTATTGTTGGGCTGCTGGTGGATCACTGAGAGCAGGCCACACTCAAGTATAAACAAGACATCCATTGAAAGAAATAAAGGAGGAGAGCACAAAGCTGCTGCTGTATGCCCAAGAAGTGAATACAGAGAGTAAAGATGGACTTAGAGGATACATTTGAGCAGTTTAGTCCTTCAAAGTAGAATTACGGCTGTGTTTAAAAAGCCTATTTAGAACTACCTTAATCTTTACTACTCAAGACAGAGATCTTGGAATCATCGTGGACAGTTCTCTGAAAACATCCACTCAGTGTACAGCAGCAGTTAAAGAGGCGAACAAAATGTTGTGAATCATTAAGAAAAGGATAGAGAATAAGACAAGAAATATAACACTGTCGCTATATAAATCTATGGTGCTCCTACATCTTGAATACTGCATGAAGATGTGGTCATCTCATCTCAAAAAAGATACACTGGAATTGGAAAAGTTTCAGAAAAGCAACAAAAATGGTTAGGGGTGCGAAATACCTGCCACGTGAGGAGAGATTAATCAGACTGGGACTTTTCAGCTTGGAAAAGTGATGAATAAGGGGGGATATAATAAAGATTTATGAAATCATTACTGATGTGGAGAAAGTAGATAAGGAAATGAACTAAATCAATTCATGGAAGATTGGTCCATCAACAGCTACTAGCCAGAATGGGCAGGGATGGTGTTCCTAGCCTCTGTTTGCCAGAAGCTGGGAATGGGCAAGAGAGGAGGGATCACTTGATGATTACCTGTCCTGTTCATTGCTTCTGGGGCACCTGGCACTGACCACCGTCAGAAGACAGGATAGTGGGCTAGACAGACATTTGGTCTGACCCAGAATGGCTGTTCGTACGAATGTTTGGTTCAAGTCCACAGTTAACATAGGAGGTATAATTCCAAACTGGACCACTGGGCATCTACTCATTGTGGCTTCTCCCTGGCAGACCAGCACCACTCTGTACTGGATGCAGGAAGAAAACACAGTAAGTGAAGCAGAGGCTAATGGGAAGATTATTACTGGTTATTATTTCACTGACTAAAGTGCATCTTCCTTTGATTGGTTTAAGTATTGGACAGCCAGAAAAACACAATTTAAATAGTGTTCAGGCAAGTCAAAGTTGAGCAGAGTCCTGTACAGACAACAGACCTGCTCAGGGAGGTTAAGGAGATAGTGATTTCTCCTGGTACAAGTCACTCTTCCAGTTTTATTGAAAATAAGTTTGTTGCAGCTTCTCGGGCAAATGTTTCTGTGCTGGACTACTACTCTCTTCTTAAATACCAATTTTTAAATGGTTTCCTGTAATCTGGCATTGCTATCTGAAGAGATGGGCAAAAGCTAATTCAAACAGCCTTTAGAAACCATTCTCAAGACTAACCAGTTTTAAAAATTGGTTTTCTAGCTCAGTCTTTTGTTGTGTAAATGGCGTGTTAAGTCTTAGCCCCATCACCCAGCAGAGGCCATATGCACTATCAGAAAATCACACCAACTGTCATTGTGTTACCTAAGTTGGATACATAGAACATTACAGTTCAACTAAAAGCCCTTTTCAAAGTAAATGTGCTAAAACTTAAAGTACACAGGAATGAGAAATGCTCCCTTGTCTTCTACCCTTTCTGATTGTGTCTTACCACCAGATACTTCCCAGCAAAGCAGAAACTTCCTTTCTTATTATTACTATAGCATTTATACTGAAATACATCTGGATAGCTCAACCAGTTTTGGGGTGCCTATGCTCTAAACACTTGTGGAGGCATACAGCAAATGACAGTCCTTGCCCCAAAGAGCTGTCCGTACCAATAGCGTTTCTTAGTCAGCGCTGGATTCCTTTTAGAAACGGGGAATTTGAAAACTAAACTCCAGTTTGCTTTCTGAGTGAGGCTGTTGGAACTGTCCTGTCTTGTTGGCCCCTCTCCCCCATTCCAAAGCACACTTGGCTCCCACTCTCTGGTTTTCTTGTATATGTTTCAGTTCCAGTGATGGACAGTCACATATTTCTATAATCAAACCATTGCCACAGTTAACACTATTTGACTCTAACTAGTGTTATCCTCAGCAGAGAAGCCAGTTCCCTTAGTTGACTGGAGTTCTGAATTCCCCCCTGCTATCCTTAAAGGTCTCTCCAGGGCAGCAGTGAGGCAGAGCCTGGTGCTTTGCTTTCTTTTGTATAAACAGAACATGTGAATCTTCCAAACTGTCAAACCAACACCATTCACACAAACACTGACTTTACTTTACAAACACATTAATGACAGTCACTCAGGGCCCTCAAGACATATGAGCATAGAGGAGCAAAGGACAAGTGTAGGGCCTACCACATCTATATGGTTTGCTCAATTATTTAATCTGACCACCTTGGTGTCAGGCAGTGGTCGTGTCCCAGGTAATTTCAAACTGAATGTTTTCTTGTTAAACACACACACACACACACACACACACACACACACACACACACACACACACACACACACACACAATTTACCTTTCTCACCACCCACCCACACACACACCACCGTTGAAACATAATGTACCTTGCTCACTCCTTTGAGAGGCCCATTTTCAAGGCACTCCACCACATTTTGGAGGCCAAATCCCAATGCACAGGCTGCTCCCAGTTGTAAGGTAGAGAGGACCCTGTTCTGCCCAGTTTGCATACTACATAGCAGCTCACGCTGCAAAATAAGTTCCCAGAGGAAGTGGTGTGGAGGCCATTTCCTGCCTGCAAAGTTCTCTGGCAGCTGCTATCATTTTTAGTTCACGCCACTCAAGAAATTTAAGCCCCAAAAATCAGTTTTGTTAGGAGAAGAAAAAAAGTCCTGAGCAGCCTTAACTCATAAACATTTCAGTGGACTCCTCTGAGAGAGATGAGGGAACTCCTCACCTTGCAGAAGGCACTCAGCCCCTCACAGAGTCAGGTCCTAACCGCGTTTGCCACACTCTGCAGTGGAAGGAAGAGCAGCATCACTGTGGTGAACCTGCAGCATTTTCAGAAAAGCTCTTGATTCCTACAAGAATACATGGCCCTTTAACTGAACCACCAGCTGATCTCTCTCTCTTGAAATGCAACATAAATCTTACCCAGGTGACATATAACTAACAGTTGTTATATGGAGAGAGAATGGTCTCAGCCAGCCATGGCACAGGTATCTCTACTGTTAATGACGCTACACTGTTCTGTAATAGGAGTCTCAGAGATTGGTATATTTCCTGCCCTGGACCTTGCCATCCATATGTCGACAGCATTTATAGTTAGCTTAACCACTGGTTTCAATCTTCAAGCTGAGTTTTACTTAGCAGTGGACATAGTTCATGCCTCTTTTTAGGAGAAAACATCTAAATAACTACTTCATTCAATAGTTTTAAAGATAAATTTAGTTGGTAGCTGAACACTAAGGCCCTGCTCCTTCCTTAATGAGTTCACATAGGTCTTAGGAATGCTGATAATTGCACCTCCCAGGGACACACTTATTGAGGCTTAGTCCCTTAACATATCATTATTAAGCCTTGGTACCATTCTGATTTATCACCTATTCACCTAACAGGTAATAACTAGCCTATGAAGTCTAAGTAAACCTTTGATTTCAGCATGCACATATTGTACAATGCAACTGTTCCTTTATCTTCTTCTCCTACTGGACAGCAACTAGCACAAAGTCCGTCAGATGGGGGTTTGAGTAAACATGGCACCTAAATGCTGTGGTGATGGGCTCCTGAAAACTATTTAGTCTAGAATACAGTTTCTAAATCTCAATGAAACACAGTTTGGTACTGTCCACTCTGGCCAAACAAACGATGTTTACATTAAATTACCTTGAATTAGTTTTAACTCATGCTTAAAACCTATTAAGCAAATATGACATCTTTTGACCTAGAACAAATGGAACCAGACACCGAGCCTATGTTGTCCCAGGGTATGGCTAGACTACAAGTTTTTGTTGGAAAAGGGTACTTTTCCAATACTTCTGATGGAAGAGGCTTTTCTGACATTTAGCTCATCTAGACTAGGCCGAATGTCAGAAATTTTTTTTTTCGAAAGCCTCCTTTCTTGTAGAATGAGGAATATAGGGCTTCTGAAAGAGCGTTTGCTCTTCCATAAAAAAAAGTGGATGAGCAAATGCGTTCGTAGGACGCGGCAGAGTTTTTTTGGGATATATCTGGTATCTCGAAACCCCCCCACAGTCTAGCCATACCCCCAGTCTCTACAAAGGGCAAAAGATTTGCAGCCTCAGTGCCTGAATCCTTAAGTCCTGGGAGTCATGTCTTTCGAACTTCATGTTGACAGCCCTAGAGTAGCAGGTCTTGGGCATTTTTCCCACTCTTCTCTTCAGGTAGGCCTCTGCACAGCATGGGGCTTATATGAAACCAAGTACAGGCAGTCCTCGAGTTACGCGGATCCGACTTATGTCGGATCTGCAGTTATGAGCGGGGATTTTCTTGCCCCGGAGGACTGGAGCGGTGGGACGCCTGGTCCTGCCGCCCGCCTCCTCCGGGGCGAGAAAAGCTGCTCCCCGTCTCCCTGGGCCGCCGGGGGATCAAAGCGGAGACGGGGAGCAAAGCGGCGGAGGACCCGGGGCCAGACCCACGGCGCTGATCTGGAAGCGCCGCGGTCCGGCCCGGGTC